TCAAGTATTTTAGGAAAGGATTATTTTGGTATTACTAAGCAAGGAAGAGATTCAAACATAAGTATCACTGACAGTGGGCAAAAACAAACAAAAAACACAAAAAACATGGAAATAGCTCTGACGGGGACTGAATTAGTTACTTTTCTAGTTGCTGTGATAAAAAAAAAAATACCTGGGAAAAGCAACTTTATGAAGGAAGAGTTTATTTTGGCTCATAGTTCAAGAGGGTATAGTTTGTCATGTCAGAAGTCATGGCCACAGGAAGGAGAGGGAGCTGGTCACATTGCTCCTGCAGTCAGGAAGCAGACAGATAAACGCTGGTACTCAGCTTGCTTTCTCCTTTTTTTTTTTAAATGACATCGGAGCCTGGCCTCACCCCCGGGAACTGCCCAGGAGCATGTCAGGCCAGGCCGTTTTCTCCTTTTTCTGCAGTCCAGGACCCCATCCCATAGAATGGTGCTGCCAACATTTAGCACAGACTTCCCACCTCTATTAACCGAATCTAGTCATGCTCAGAGGTATGTCTCCTAGGTGATTCTAGAGCCTATGGAGTTGGCAACCAATATTTACTATCATGGAGCCAAAAGTAATCTTTCAATAGGCTACTAATGTAGGATAAATTCATCTTCAGAACAGGAGAGCTTCCAGATCCCTTTCCAATAATGTATTCTAGGAATCTGAACTTGGACTAGGATATGGTCTGACAGCAGCCAGTATTATAAAGCACAAGGTGCTAGTACTTTTACTGGGCTTTTAACTGAGACACTGAAATAAACAAAACTCTGCAAAAGCTTGTAGATAACCGGGAAGAAGGAGAATGGATTCCTCTGTCTGGAGCATGACAGCACCTAGTCACCATCACCACCTGTCATCCCTCTTACAGTCCTGTCACAACCTCCTCACTATTGCCCATATCTTTGATCCTGCTGTTCCCAAAATGTGAAACAGGTGCTTCCTTCCTCCAATTCAATGCAGATATCCACCCTGACAGTCAAGTTTCAAAGTTGACATCCCACCACAAACCTTCCTAGACCACATCCAACCTATAATAATCTTATTTGTTCTTTGCGATCTTACATCCCTCTGGTCTCCTTAGTCTACAATCTAATATTTTGGTTATTTATTTATTTATTTATTTATGAATGACAGGGTCTCCCTGTAGCCCCAGCTGGCCTGGAATTCACTATGTAGACCAGGCTGGCCTTGATCTCACAGAAACCCACCTGCCTCTGCCTCCAAAGTGCTGGGATTCATGCCCAGCTTCTATAATCTAACATTTAATTATGTATTGTTTTCTCTACTTTACTAGTTGATTTATGAAAACATTCTTTAAATCTTAGGAAGTTTATATTTCTCTAGTTCAAACACTAGGGCACATAGTAGGACCTATCATTCATTCCTCTCTTTAATCAGGCACTCAACTGCGAGATGGTTGCCTTCACAATCTCATCATATGACTGAGCCAACAAGGAGGGTCTGGATTTGGCTGGTCTAAGAAGATACTGCCCAAGTATTAAGACAGATCCCAGTTTCACTTATCTGTTTATTGAGGAAGAGAGTCATGGTCTCAACAGTATGAGATGACAAAGATGAGGTAGAACAAAGCCAAAGAATTGATGCCTCATCCATGCAGTGTCCACACCAGCCGAGGAGGCCGACACCCCCACTTCAGCACACCCAGCACGAGGCTCACGGCCTCCCAACTTGGGTGCTCACCTCATGTTCTGAATTCACACTCTTGCCTACTCCTGCGCTGTGCCCTTTGCACAGTTTTAGCTTGCCCCAAAGCAATTGTGACATTTCAGTGGTGGGTGAGGCTACTCCTCTGTAGGGAGCTGCCTCATTTGAGAATGCAGTTTTTGGAAGAAAGACACTATTTAAAAAGAAGAACACTATTCCTTTGACAGCCTCCATGGAACTGGGAAAATAAGTTAGAAACATAAAGGCAAGTCCAAGCTGGGATCAGTTCCTGGAAATGTGGCATCTATTTTGAGACAACCACCATATTTTGCTAGGAGCAATTCATTCTACCTTTTCAATATGAACATAATGGTTATAAAATAGTCAAGGAATGATTTTCTTGGAATAATGGAGAATGAAGTCTTTCTGGGAAAGTCATTCTTTTAAAAGAAATCAATTATTTATTACTTTTAGATGAGGTCTCACTCTCTTTCCTTGGCTGACTTGGAACTTACTACGTAGCCCAGGCTGGCCTTGAACGTACAAAAATCCTCCTGCATCAGCTTCCCAAATATTGAGATATATGCATGACCACCATGTCTGAGTCTTGAGAGGGATTCTTTACAATGACTTGGGAGATAACACACTTGAGTGCAAAACTTTTTTAAGTTGCAAATTTAAGTATGAGAAGCTTTTCAGTAATGGACCAAAGTTCCAATGTAGCACAACTGACTTACAGTAGTACAGATTAGCACACAAATGCTGCTATCTGTTGGAAACACTAGGGTTTATTGAACTAGAAATTATTCTCAACTAAGAAGGAATACACAAAAGGAGAAATGCACAGGCTTGTCCGTGAATCTGGATTGCACTCTGAGGCTGCCCAGCATCATGCTGGCTATGAAGAAGAAAGGCCATAAGGTCACCTTTTCTTTGGAGTTCCCCTTATGAAAGCATATAAACTTTGAATAACATGATTTCTTTTGATTCATGGAATGCAGCCTCTCTTAAAGCAAGTCACTTTGGGGATATGTAATCACTGTAAAAATGAAGGGAATTTAGAAATGTTCTCAAGGAAAACAACAAAAGAAAAATAAGAGTAGAACTGCTAATTCTCCCAGAAAAGCAACTCTGGCCCCACAGTATCTAATTAATTTGGGGAGCTTCTGGTTAAAATTTAAGAAGACAAGTGAAAGTTTATTCCATTAGTTACAGTCCTCTCTGGTAACAGAACTTAATATTCCATCTCATGCTGTTTTGTAGGAACTTTCCAGGGGTGTTGTCACTTATACAAATTAAAGGTAAAATGACAGTTCAAGATGGGATACTCAGTTTTGCCTGGGTCACAAAACTTGGCTTCACAGAAGAGAAAGCTTGAAGCCATGATGAAGAAATGACTTTGGTCTCCAAATCTGAATCTCTTTCACAAAGCATGGGGGATTGTGGGAAGACATACCTCCTTCTCAACTCCTCTGGAAAAAAAACATTATTCTTCAAAAAACAAATTGTAGCATTAAGAATAATACTATCCAGTCCACTGTGTGGGCTGTGGTTAGGAGAGCCATCTAATGCCCAGGAGTAGTAGTAAGGGGAAACAAGTTTACCTTCAGACCAAATCTTTTGAGGTGCTAGAGGAGAAGCCTCAACAGTTTCCCCCAATGCTAGAAATGAATACAGCAGGATGGGAAGACAAATGAGGGCAAACAGAGTCAAGCCTGCACCCTAAAAGCTAGGCTGCACCTGTGTTGGTGACAGCTCTGGTTGGATCGGTAAAACCAGCATGAGCCTTTCTGTTAAGAGAGCCACAAAAGCGGAATTCTCCTGATGATGTTACATACTCTAATGAGGCAACTCTCTTGCTATTTTGAGTTCTCTTGTCTGCTATACTTAAATTGCTGCACCTGGAGAGATGGCTCAGAAGAGCAGTGGTTGCTCTTGCAGAGGACTGGGTTCAAGTCTCAGCACCCACATGGCAGCTAACAACCATCGGCAACCCTGTTCCAGGGGAATCAGACGCCCCCTTCTGACTACTGCAGGTATTGCAGGACATGGGTGCACTTAACATATACGCAGGCAATACACTCATACACATAAAATAAAAATAATAAATAAAATATTTTAAATTCCTACACCCTTTTCAGTTTGTTCACTGACTACTGCTCTAAGGCTTTAAATGAACCTGAGCTTAAAATTTTAAGCTAATAAAAATTAGTCACACACACACACACACACACACACACACACACAATCAGGTAAAAAGCCAAGTTCTGGCACACCAGTTATTTTAGTATATTTTGAGACAGGGTGTCACTCTAGAGCCCAGGCTGACCTCAAACCCACTGTCCTCCAGCCTCACCCTCTCAAGTGCTGGAATTACAGATATGTACCATTACACCCAGCTTAGTACTAATTATTTTCCTCTTAGTATTAACAAGTCTAATGATGTCTTTAACAAATAGCAGAAAATGATATTTTAAAGATATATTTATTTTCCTCTAACACTGGCTACCAAAAATATGAAGAAAAAGTAATTTCTTATCCTCAAATTATATTACCTTTAATTATGATCTATTGTTATGGACTGAATTGTGTCTCTTCAAATTCCTAACTGCAAAGCTTTTGAATATGACCTTATTTGTAAATAAAATCATTGCAGACAAACTTAGTTAAGACTACTGATATAGGGGTCAAGTCATACTAATATCCCAACAGAGGAAACATAGACACAGATATGCACACAGGAAGAGCACTGTGGGACGATGAAGGCAGAGGCTGGAAAGATGGGTCTATGTGCTTAGGATGGTCAAGACTGTCAACAACAGGGCTGGAGAGATGGCTCAGTGGTTAAGAGCACTGGCTTCTCTTGCAGTGAACCCAGTTCAATTCCCAGCACCCACACAGTGGCTAACAACTGTCCACAGCTCCAGTTCCAGGAGATCCAACATCCACTTCTGACCTCTGTGAGCCTTGCACAACATGGGTGGTTTACACACATGCAGGAAATATGCTCATATCCATAAAATAAAAGCAATACAATTTCTTTTAAAGAAAAAGATTGCTAACAAGTACCAGGTGCCCAAGAAGAGGTCTGGGACAGGTTCCCACTCATTGCCAACAGAAGCCATCAACTCTGCCAACACCTGGATTCTGGACTTGGAGACAATTTCTGTTGTCTAAGCCTTCCAGTTTGTGGCACTTCATTCTGTAGCCCTAGCTAACTAAAACACTCAAGGAGAAAGGAAGAACTATTGTCAAGACTTACTTATTTTAGAGACAGAGTCTACATCAAATTGTCCCAATGGGGAAATGTTGGCTCTTACCATCAGTTCCTGGAGAGCAGGATTTGGCTTCTGGATGTTGATCTCAACGCTGTTGCTGTCTTGTTTTACCTCCACGGGAGAGCCATGCACTGTGGCCACACCTTCAAACATCTGGGACTTGATTAAGGAGGGGGCAGGTGCCACTGTGGGACCCTCTTTTTCCTTTTCTTCCTCATCTCCGTGGACCATTTCTCCATTCATGCTGATTTTCCCATCTACCTATAAAAGCCAGGATGAACAAAAAACATGCTATTCCCCACCGAAGATGAAAACAAAAGACACATTACCTTCAAGAATCCTCTCAAATGCTTTAATCAGTTCTAGAAGTTAGTCTTCTGTGAAAGCCATCTGTAAAGGCTTCTTTACAAGACTGTTGGCCTCCTTGGGCTACTTCACCATTTGACTCCCTTTATGTTCACCTGATTTACAGTGTGCTTTCATTTTAAAGCACAGAAAACCAATGAATCTTAAACATAAACACATGTCACATATTTGGGTTCCAGTGATTTTTCAATTTAAGTTGTGATGGCTTTTCCATAATTTGTAATTTTTTTTCTTGTTAGCATAGAAATGAGACAGGATCTACCTCTGCTCAGGACATTTGCAGATCATCTTGTGGTGGTAGATGAGGTGTTTTTGGTGAAGCTATCACGGAGGCAGGGGATCTCATGTTATGCCATAGTACAATAAATCTCTTTTTCTAGTTAATGCAAAAACTCTGGTTTTTTTCCCAAGAAAACAAACAACAAAAAAACCCCATGCTCATTAAAATGTTTCTGTCTCACATTCCATATTCAGGGGAGAAAGAAGCAAGAGAAGTGGCTAGCCTGGCTTATTGAAAGGCATCTAGAAACCTCTCTGACGTCTGAAGCAGATTATCTGTGGTTAGCTGACCTACAATTGAATTCTGACTCTACCACTTAGTAGCCATGTAACCTCCAAGTTTTTGACCCTCTGAGGAAAAAAAAGCAGATTTTAACATAACATTATTTTCCTCATAGTGTTGTTATGGGGATTTTATGAGTTAAAGTATGTGCAGGATTTGGAACACTGACACATTTTAAGGGCATAAATATTGGCCATTATTATTAGTAGGTCTTCTAAAGTCTTTGAAAGAAATAATACTAGATACTGTTATAGTTAATGTACTGTGTGCCACTGGCATCATACTTTATTATCTGCTACCCATATAAAGAAATTTACATCACAACTCAGCACACATGTATGAATATAATGGAAAGAGAAGTGTGTCGAAGCTGTGCTTATCTTTATTGTGCTCAAATTCTACGAATTGTTTCTATTGCATTCATTCCACTTCATTTTTAAAAGCTGCTGATTCCAAACCACTAAACTGACAACAACCTTACAAGAGATGAAAGCTCTGTGTTTAAAAATAATGGCTTAAACTACTTCACTTGACCTTCCTTTACTTTTTTCTAAAATACAGTACAGATTATTTGTTCATTAATTTTGAGGAAGGGTCTTGCTATTGTGGATACATGTGTATGCTTGTGTGTGTGCGCGCGCGCACACACACACACACACACACACACACTTCACTTCCTTCTCTCCGTTTTCTGGTAACAAATGTCCTATTTATATTGACAATTGTTCATCCACCCACTCAGTGATGGGCCTATAGGCTATTGAGCAAGGATGACAAAGTTTCTTTGAACTTAAGGTTTGTCACAAAGATTTCTGTTTTAAATGGTCACACTGTACTATTGACATAAAGGAGGGGAAGTGGACATCTAAATGATATGATCAGATGCCTTAAAATCCAGCTGCATAAATGTATTCCCCACTCCTATTCTGGGCCATCTCAATGTAAAGTGTTCATGGGATGTCATACTATCCACGATCCTGGGTCCCAGGTGAAGGGAAGTACTCAAATACTTGGACTTCTAAGCACATGTGCTACACACATATACATGTGTGTATAAATCTGCCAGCTCTGTGGCTAATCTTAAGAAGAACTCATTTATTTACTCACTATGTAACCTTAGCAAGAATTCATTTATTTACTCATTACAAGATTGCTGAATGTATATACATCCTAGGTATCTATGCCAGGCTCTCAGGATGGAGCTATAAACAATGAAGATACAGGCTTTGCCCTATGAGGGGCAAATATTTCAATTCAATCTAAATGAGATGACTAGATGTTCATCTTTTGTTCTAGAAAGTTTAAGGTATAGATTTTAAAGATATATTGAGAGTTATTTTTTTTTAAAGTCAGAAAGTAGGTTTGGGATCTTTCTGAAATTCAGTAAGGAAGGTCCACTGCATTCCACAACTCAATTAGTTGATTTATGCAAACTTCCTGCAAGCCTTAATGATCACATCCACTTGTGATGAGCTCTGCCTTTGTCATCGTTACAAACTCATGTGGTGTGCAATGAAAACTGATTTTTCTCTGAAGTTAAAAGAGCTTCAGATAAAGGATGAATACTCCCACATGACATGAGGAAAGCACTGGAATATGAACAAGTGAAAGGATATTTGGTTGTCAAAGGTTCTTTGGTTCTCAAAGACTATTTTACATACTCTCTAGTAGTACAGCCCAGTTTTCCACTCAAGAAAAGCCTGTCTTATCTCATGACCAAGTACACAGCATGCTACCATGTGCTCCATTCAAAGAGTGTAGCAACTCTTTGAATATGGTGTCAATTTCTTCCTTTAAGGTGTAGCGACATATATTTCTATTTAAAAACAATTATAATTTTGTTTGGGGGCCGCATTTGCCATACCTTCAGATAGCTACAGATACTAGAGTATTACTACACTAGGATTTGTTTATACTAGTATCAAAAAAACCAGACCATTATTTCAAACCAGAAAATGCAACCACAGTAGGTCCAGCAGGAGTAACAACTGAGAAAAATATCTTTCCCTTAAGTATCTGAAAGTTAACTCTACCAAATCATATAAATGCCTTATTGTAAATGTTAACGCATTTGGCTTTTGTTTGGCAAAAAAAACAGGGCAATTATTCCTTGCATTTTCCTTGAGTCAGTATGCTTCTTTCTAACTACCTGGAGCTTGGTTTCCATTTTCCTCTTAAAGAACCCAGCCTACCTTAAAGGTCTTCAGAACCTCTTGAGAGTCTTTGGGCTGGGAATAAGGCTTGGGTGTCAGCATAGGCACTGCTTTGGGAGTGACCGTTTTGCTTGGAGACCCACTGCCTGCTGCTGTGCCGGTATCTGGAACACTGGCACGAGCAATGGTGGTTTCAACCGTGGCAGTGAACTTGGGTGGAGGCAGTGACTGTTGCCGTAGGTATTTCATGGGGCTGGGGTCGTTCGGGAAGGAGGATAAGTTTGGCTCTGTTGAATGGCTTCTTTCCAGAATTTTTGGCATCTCCAAGCGTTCGAGCACAGCCTCACTGATGGTGAACCTCTCGATGTACTGCTGAAGGATCCCCTCCGCCTCCTCCTGGGACCGTGCATTCTTATATGCCTCATGTAACTCCCTCTCTCTCCGCTCTCTGGGGAGTGGGGCATGGGAAGAAGAACAATAAACAGTCAGGAAACATGCAAAGAGGACCCTGGTGGGAGCAAGGTAGAATACAATACAACCAAGACTATAGCATAGTGGCATTAGAGCCCTGTGGTAACATGGTTTAGAGAAAGCACAGCTGGATGATATTATATACCAAGGACAGGAAGAACCTACTTTTCTTGAACAATTTCTCTGTAAGTTTTGATGCTTTTCCTTCGTTCACTTGTTCCATCTTCTCCAGACATCAACTTCTCCATTTTTTTCCTTTCTTCCTCTTTCTTGATTAAGTCCTGAGAAGCACTTCTTCTACGGCTCTTCCAACGAGCCAGGTCCTGGGGGGGGGGGGGGGGGAGG